ACTGGTGCAAAAATTATCAGTTATGATCAGCCGTCCTTCATTCAATAAGCCTTCAGCTGAATTTAATACCACAGATCCAGGCTCATCTAACAAGAGAATTTTGGGATCATCTCCACAATAAATAGAAAAGGAATACGTAAATCTCTTTGTGGTGCATAATTTATAGAACTTTCCGCCATATTTGCTACATTTTGAGGGGTTGCATTGCATAAATTTTGACCTTCTAAAGGAAATCACTTGCTCGGGTATCATCGGACTTTTGTTCACATATGATTCATGGACGTGAGACATACAGGGTGTTCCTTAATGATATGCGAATATTTAAGGGTGTGAATCTAAAGGAAAAATAATGTTAGTTTGCTTTATAAACTATAGTCCGAAATTGTTTCCTTACAAAAACTCGGGGTGTTGAAGTTTTAGGAAAAAAATGGAAGTTAATTAATATTTTCAGAACCGCTTCAGATATTTCACTGATATTTAGTACGTAGTGAAAGTTAATAAAGTTGCATATCTTTCAATGCAAAAATAATTTTTAGCTTGAACAGTGGTGTGCGTACGTATATTGACTTCGATATTTTTCAAGAAAGAAATAGGCCGCCAATGGTTTTTTGCCAAATAAAAATTTATAAACCAGACGGATTTATCACCAGAGATATCCCGATCGTGCTTTGCCAGATAGTCGAACCTTTTCCAATATTGATCGTCGTCTTGTTGAAACTGGTTCTGTCCGAAAGGAACATCTGAAGGCAGACTTCTAAGTGTGAGAACACCTGAAATTGAGGAAACAGTGCTGCACGAAGTCGAAGAACATCCTGAAACGAGTACGAGGAAGATTGCTAGACACTTAAATATTTGCCATCAAATTGTTTGGAGAATTTTAGTGGATTTTTTGTTATATCCTTACCATATTTTAAGAGTACAGGCATTAGTTACTATTGATTTTCCAAGTCGTGTGACCTTTTGTCAGTGATATATTCAAACAATTACACAAAATCCGCAATTTGTATCAATGATTCTGTTCACGGACGAAGCTAATTTTTCTCGAAATGCCATTCAGAATTTCCGCAATAATTATTTGTGGGCAGAAGAAAATGCCTATCCCGTAACCGAAACCCATTTCCAACCTCAATTTTCGGATAACGTATGGGCAGGAATTACTAGCAACCACTTTATTGGCCCATTCTTCTTGCCGGGACGACTTGACGGACATACTTACCTCAATGTTATTCAACAACAGTTGCCTTTGCTGCTTGATGATGTTCCGTTAGTAATAAGAAACAATATGTGGTACATCCATGATGGTGCACCAGCCCATTTCAGTGTAGCGGTTCGTAATTATTTACAAACTGTTTATCCAAATCGTTGGACTTGCCGCGGTGGGCCCCAAGAATTGCCACCAAGGTCCCCAGAACTCAACAGCTTAGATTTCTTTTTGTGGGGCTATCTTAAGAGACTAGTGTACACAAGACCCATTAACACTGTAGAGGAATTAAGAGAAACAATAGTTGCAGCTTGTGAAAGAATAAAAAACACTCCAGGGATATTTCAACAAGTGCGCAGTTCCATGAGAAGGAGGGCGGAAGCATGCATACTAAGTGAAGCGGGCCATTTTCAACAATTTTTGTAATCATTTCGTTGGTTTTAATGTTATGTATATGTTGTCAATTGTTGTTGTTCATTACTCCGAATGTGTTTAACTTTTCCTATTAAATTAATAATAATTTTAGGCAAGTTAGACAATAGAACGGTTTTTATTTTTTTACTCAAAAATGGCGCATCGAAGGAAAACAGTTCACAAGAGATCATTTGTTTTAAATTGAACGGGAAATTTAAAAAGATTTTTATTTGGCAAAAAAACATCTTAGTCAATACCCGTACGCACGCCACTGTTAAAGCTAAAAATTATTTTTGCATTGAAAAATATGCACCTTTGTTAACTTTCACTACGTACTAAATAACAGTGAAATATCTGAAAATATTAATTAATTTCCATTTTTTTTATAAAACTTCAACACTCCGAGTTTTTGTGAGGAAACATTTTTGGTCCGTAGTTTATAAAGCAAACTAACATTCATTTTTTAAGTAGATTTACACCCTTAAATATTCGCATATCATTACGGAACAACCCTGTATATCATTTCAACTTACACGTTCATGAGTCATATGTGAACATGGAAGATGGAGAGGAGAGAGTGATGAGATTTTGTCTATAAAACATATTTGAAAACATGTTATAATAGTATATTAAGAAAATATATGTCTTTATCTTGAGAACGAAGAATTAGCGGACCTATGTTTATATTAACTTTTTATCTTAAAATTACTCAATTACTCGAAGAATCGTCTGTTACATGTATGATAGATACTTGATAAACACCTTGTATACGCGATTTCTCGGTGGTTCGAAAAAAAATGACGTCAGGTTATCAATTCATAAAGGATTATAGTCAACGCCAAACAAAGTGGCGTGCACGTCATCAAGGTGGGTGTGTTGAAAAATTTACATTGTTGCCAAACTTTTTGTAAAATAATAAAATTTATTATTTACATATCTAGGTTTATAAGCAATATTAACCTCAAATGAGAACAAAAATAATAGTATAATAAAATTATAGATCTGTACTTGCATAATCATTAAGTATGACAATTATTGATCAGATGACACTATGAAACTACCATATTTAATTGATAGCTTAAAGGTACTGAATAAAAATCCAAATGGGGTCCTCCAAATTTTATGCATGGTATTTATTTTACAGAATTCATACAGAAAAATGCATTCTAAAATTAGGTAAGCTACTGGTGTAAGCTTTTTCTGTACAATAAAGTTAGTCGGAGTTTCTTTCTTCAGCGCTGTCTGAATCTGAATCTTCATCACTCTCAAAGTTGATTATTAAAGGTTCGATGTCTGGTCGATCAAAAATTCGTTCTCTTTCATACCATTTAAAAATTTCTTGCTCAGTATGTCGAACACTATTTTTCCACATGTCTGGGGTAACCGTTTGTAGAGCCTCGTTCCACATATCCAAACAGTCTTTTTCACTGTTACCATCTCTACCAATATGTCTGTTATAGTAACCTTTTGCTATGCCCCAAATTAACTCAATAGGGTTAAATATACAATGGTAAGGAGGCAGACGAAGAACTTTGTGCCCATGTTGTTCCGCCAATTCATCAATCACGTATATTTTAGGTGGTTTGTTTCTAAAAAAGCAGTTATTTTAAGAATAGGAATAAACAAAAGAAATATAAACTGTCGACCAAAATATATATAATTAAGAAGCATTATGTACCGAGCAACAATACTCAATAGCTCTGTTTTAAACATTGTGTTTAAAAATGGTATGTTTTGATTTGTCAACCAGTCTTGGATATTTTTTTTTGTCCATGCATTGTTGGGCACTTTGTTCAATATCATGCTGTGATAAGGGGCGTTATCCAGTATAATCATAGATGGACTCTCCAATTTTTCTAATAACTGATGTTGAAACCATTTCAAAAAATTGTCCTGGTTCATCTCTCCATGGTAATCGCTCAATTTTGTTTTCGAAGAAAATATCGCTTCACTACCCTCAATAAACCCATTTTCATTTCCAGCATGTAATATAATGTATCTAAAATATATTAGTTTTAAATTTTATAGTGCAAATTGTGTAAAAGTACATACCTTTTACCATCTGTTTTAATAGCTTTCACGCTTTTTTGGTTTCCATTTTGCCAAGAGCGACCTATGGTCCCATTTTGAAATATCCAAGTTTCATCGAGGACAAACTGGTATAAGGCCTCAACCTTGGCTTGATTGTATTGCCTTAGAAATTCCACCCTTTTCAAAGCTATACTTGGTAGTTCCATGAGCCCTCGTCGCGGATTGTCCTTAAGCCACTTAAATCCAAGATCTCTAAGCAACCGCCTTAAAGACGTGGCACTACCATCAAATAATGCCCTATCTCTCAATCGAGACCATAAAGTTTGTATCGTAACTTGTTCTTCTGAAACCATGTGTAATATGACATTATAATTTAGTTAACAAATTAATGCAAATTTCTGATAAGTTATTATAATAAGATCTTACTTTTGTGATACATATTATAGATCACTTCTCGAATGGCACTTGTATCCAATGTCGCTGTGTTGGTTACACGTTTAATATAACTCCGCTTTTTCTTGGGCGATTCTAAATTTGCATCACTTTTCACACCCTCGGAAATACGACTAACTGTCCTTAAACTAATTTTTAAAGCAGCAGCAACACGCTACAAAAAATGAAATAAAATTTCACTATTATTAATATACATTACATATAATTATTAGTAACCTACCTCTTGAACAGCATTTAAAGGCAACAAAGGCCCGTTGTTGTCCCTTTCTTGCTCAAAGTAGTGCATTAACGAGGCCACGAGTTCCTTACACCGACTATTTAACTGTTTGGGCATCTTTATATACCAAAATTGCCTTTATCTACTCGTAAAATGAATAATTTTGTTTTGAAACAAACAGTTGTTGATTTACAGTATGCGGGGCCAAAGGATTTATAAAGATTTGAAATGCCACAAATTGATTCAGTGTCAAAATTAATACAAATGTCAGTTCCCAGTTTAAATAAGTTTCAAGGTGACAATGTGTCAACGCTGCGAAATCGGTTTAGTGCGTTTACATGTCGATAAGTGATTGGAGCGTTTGCAAAACATTTTATTTCGCATAATGCGTCTAAATTTATCAGAAAGCAACTTATGTGATATTTTAATAACAATGTTTATATGACTATTAACCATAATAAGAGAGTAATGACCATTTTACAATTTATATATCACATTAATATGAAACTGCAATAGAGCAATTGTTTGTGATAGAAACCTAGGCATTAGGTCGGGGAATTTTTATCGTGATGACGTGCACGCCCCTTTGTTTGGCGTTGACTATATATCTTGACAAATACTGCTGTGTGTACAACGACAGTAAGGCCTGTCTGAATTTTGACATTTAATAATTAACATTTTATTTTTAGGTTAAAAGGCATTAACATGCCTTAGTAGTAGTTTCTTGTGATTTACCTTCTCATTTAGTTATATAGAAAACATCAAGCGAGCCAATGAGTTCCCATCTGAAGATCCCTCAATATCTGGCAGCTATAAGCGCTTGTATGGGAGCAATGTGTGCGGGAACCGCCTTAGCTTGGACTTCTAACATCACCGGTAAACTGAGGAAAGGAGCCCTAAACGGCTTAGAGATGAACGATGAGCAATTGAGCTGGACAGGTTCGTCGATGACCATAGGTTGTATGATCATGTGCTTCCCTATTGGAATCGTCTGCGATAAAATTGGACGAAAAACAACCTGCATTCTTACAGCCATTCCTTTCTTAGTAGGTTGGTTGATGATTATATTTGCAAATCATACAATGGTCCTATACGGAGGTAGATTCCTGATTGGCGTAGCTGCTGGATCTGTCTGTGTGTCTGCTCCAATATATACCAGCGAGGTCAGTCATGCAGAGGTCAGAGGAACTCTAGGGATTTTCTTTCAACTGTTTATGATTATAGGAATCCTTCATGCTAATATTTTTGGGTTTGTACTGGAATTAAGATATTTCAATATGTCGTGTGCAGTGTTTCCTCTGAAGTTTGCTTTCATCTTTATCTTCCAACCAGAAAGTCCGGTTTACCATATGGCCAAAAATAATTACGAAAAAGCAGAGAAAGCTTTACAACAACTGAGGGGAGACAACTATGACTGCGACGCTGAGTTGAAACAGATACGAGCTACTATAGAAGAAGAGCAAATGTATCCCAGTTTCAGGCAGGCTATGAAGACAAAAGCAGCAAAGAAAGCAACTTTAATCTGTTTCATGTTGATGTTTTACCAACAGTTTTGCGGCATCAGCTCAATGTTGTTTTACGCACAGGAGCTTTTCACCGCAGCTGGTTGCCAATATGAACCTGTAGAACCTCCACTTTGCGTGATAATATTTGGATGCATACAACTGATTGCAACGATTTTTTGCGCTGTCGCTATAGAACGAGTGGGTAGGAAGATTTTGCTGATGACATCTTGTGGACTTATGGCGCTGGCTTCAATGATAATTGGTGCTTTCTTCATTTTAAAACACAGAAATATTTTGAATGAAGGTGCTCTTAAATATTTTGAGTGTGTTCTGCCTCTAGTAGGCACCACGATTTTCATCGTCGCATTCTCAATGGGCTTGGGACCAATACCATGGATGGCACCTGCGGAGATTTTTCCCCCAGAAGTAAAGTCCATCTGCACGGCTACAGCTGCCACTTTCAATTGGCTACTGGTCTTTCTGGTATCAAAGTTTTACTTGAATTTGGCTGACTCGATTGGCCATGACTCCACGTTCTTCATATTTGCTGCGATATCGATCTCGGGGGTGATTTTTACCCGGTTTGTGGTGCCCGAAACCAAAGGAAAGACTTTTGCGGAAATTGTTAAGGATTTGACGGGTAAAAAAGAAGAGGAGTACAGCGAGATCACAGATAACAGTATAATATAAACGTATTGTAAACAAGGTTTTAATAAATGCATAATAATTAAGAATTAATGCTGATATGTTTATCCACATAGGTGTTAGGACACTGGTCGTACACACTACAGTAAGGATGTTGCAAACAAAAAAGCCTGAACCCCGAAGGTTCTCTTTTGTATGCCTTTTGAATAGCCGTAGTCAAAAACATTTTTGGAAAGTTGATAAAACGCGAAACTTTGTTATTTGACATTTTTATTTCACGCATAAGCGAAAGAAGTGTATCAAGGAAATAGTATTTAATGCGTTTTTATTCCCGGTATAGTGTCGATAGAAAACGCATAAAAACGACCCACTGGTCCACAACAAATAAAAAGTGGTATGTCCTGGGGGTCTGACTATATCTTTTCCATCTATTTTTCCCTCTGAACACGAATCTGAAGTAAAAGTTGGGAAAATGGACAACTATTACAATAATTTAGAAATCAGAATAAAAAACTGGTATTTTTTGTGGATGTGCATCTCTCATAGACCTCCGAAGAAATGCATATCCAATAAAAATGCCGAAATGTGTGATTTTAATGTCTGAAGTAATTTCTTATTTGTCCACTCATCCCCAATTTTGACTTCAGGTTCGTGTTCAGCGTGAAAAAATACATGGGAAAAACATAGTCGGACACCAGGCACTCATCACTTTTTTTATTTTGTATATTTAGATCAAAACGAAAACATCGGTAAAAGAATCAGAGATTTTGTATTCTTAGGAAACCCGAAAAACTTACAAGTTTCTCTAGGATTGTAATACTTGCAGTCATATGCCAAGCGGGGCACAATCTTCTGTAACAAATTCAAACAATTTATACCAAAATCTATGGGAAAATATTAACTTGAACAAGTTACCTCAGAAGAGAATAAAGTGAGTAGTGAAATTACAAAATGTCAAAAGAAATAGTAAAATAGTTAGAAAGCACTGTTTGTAGCAAAATATTCAAAGATACAGAGGAGTATCAGACTATAACATCTCATTGTTAATACAACTTATTTTCCTCTTGAAAAAACTGAAAAACGATATTTCAAAAACATTTCACGCAAATAAGATACTAAATCTTTAATAAATAATAAATACTTCGTCACTAAATCTCGCTTTGAAATCCCTTTCCGGGTCCAAACTTTACGTTTGGTAGTTCTTCGCCTATATCTAGAATCCAATACTCCTTCAATAAGTATATTATAACGCCCTCGTAACCGGAATAAACAGGTACCCCCGTAATGCAAACTAGTCCTTCACATACAGCATTTGAGATACTTCGCAATAAAATACTTGAACAGCACGGGCGCCCATTAGGGGGGGCAAGGGGGGATACGCCCCCCTGTATTGTGCTTCAAAGTGAAATATTTCAATCCTTGGGTAAGTAAGAATTGGCGTGTGAGAACATCTCAACATGGAAGATATTATTTCTACTTCTACTCAGCATTTTTGATCCTGCACAACCTGTAAACCAAACATGCCCCCCGGACTTTGCTATATGGGCGGTCATGTTGAACAGTACGTGTCCACGGTACTGCCAGCTCGGTCCTAACTTACTCGTATCGTTTCAACTCGGCTTAAGTACTGAACTATCGATAATACAGTGGGATTATCAGTGGCCAGTTCGGCTTTGTTTTTTTCTGATAATTACAACTTAATCATTTGATTGCGACAAATGAGGAACAAGAACCCGGTGTGCGTTAAACTCCAAAATTGTTCGGTAAATGAGCAATAAATCACCGAAATTAGGCAATTCATAAATATTCATACGGAAGGTCGTGCTTCGAATTAAGATACGCTTCTTTTATGTCTTTGCAGATGGTTGTGTATATGAAATTAAATTTAACTATAATTATTAGGTTATTTAGAACTGGGGAAATGTTATGAAGTACGGTTGAGATACAAATAGAAAAGAAATCGTGATATGCAGTTCAATTAAAATAAAAGTGAGTCCATTCTTCAAAATCCTTAGCTAAGGGCATAGTACTGAAAGCTTAAGAGCTTTTATTGGACGCAAGCGCCTCATCAGGCATTACGCATCTGCACAAAGATGTACGAAGTTTGTTCAAAAAGGATCGCGAATTTCATGTTTTTTCAAGAATTATTTATTTATTCATGAATATCTATTTTGTCACCTTCAAAGTAATCCCCATCAGACATTATACACTTGTGATAACGTTTTTTCCAATCCTCGAAGCATTTTGAAAAATCATTTTTTGTGATCTTGTTCACCTCCTGCTCCTTCGATGCCGTCTTTATCTTCTCAATCGTGGCGTAGCGTCGACCATCCATGGGCCTCTTCAGTTTCGGGAATAAGAAAAAGTCACAGGGGGGCAGGTTTGGGGGATACGGTGGGTGAGGCATTATTGGAGTGTTGTTTTTGGCCAAAAAATTCGCGCCCAAGTAACGATGCATCAGCAGGGGCGTTATTATGGTGGAAAAGCCAATTTTTGTTCTTCCACAAATCAGGGCGTTTCTGGCGGATTGCTACTCGCAAATTGCGCATTACTAGAAGGTAATATTCCTTATTGACCGTTCTACCCTGAGGCAAGAACTCATCAATGTTTTCGTCTATTGTTGACGTGCTCGGCCATCCGGAACGCTTTTCATCGCTCACATCTTCTCGGCCCTCTGAAAATAATTTTTACCATCGATAAATGTTGCTTTTGTCTAAAGCAGCTTCGCAGTATGCAACAATCAACATTTGCAATATGTCCGCGAACTTCAAGTTGTTCTTTTACACAAAATTTAATACAAATTCTTTGATCCATTTTTTGGAATAGACAAGAATCGGAGACAAGCTAAAACACGTCCACGCACAATGGCTGTCAAAAATTGACTGAACATTCAAAATGGCCGATATTGTCAACATTAGTGAGGGTCATGAGTACCAACATAACGCCACAAAATTTGCGATACTTTTTCAACAAAACTGGTATATAGTACTTAGACTCTATCTAGGAACCCTTTGGCGTGCTCATAATACTCATATACATTTCATGTATCTTCGGCAAAGTTAATTCTACTGTTCATACAAACAATATGGTTCTGGCCAGTATTTACATTTGAGGTATGCTAATTCATATTCACTTTCTTCTAGTAGCCATTATTACTTTTCGAGCAATGAGATATTCTCAAGTTAGACAAAAATTTTAAGTACTTGAAATGGATTGTTTACATCCATTTTTGAAGGAGGATGTGCTTTATTCCCGTTTCTTTGCTCGTGTGTTGGGGAAGACGCTTATGAAATTTGTATATTGAAAGAAAATTAATTTTCAGGTTAAGGACTTGACCAATATGGTTTGATTATTTAATACATAATTTTGTATGAACAAATTTAGTTCCAAATTTTGTAGAAACTGTTCTGAATAATATCATACTAAAAGTGCGCATACAAAAAATGCCAAAGATAGATTATACAGTTATGAAAATTATATGAAAAGAGTAGTCAATGTAAATAAATAAAGAATAAATCATAGTTTTAGATGTTCAGACTGTTAAAGAAGTGCTAACCTAGGCCCTTTGTGTTTGTGAAAAAAATTCGTATCGTGACAGACGGCCTTTAGAATATGACTATGCCTATTTGTATATTCCATGTCAAACGGTTAATGTCAGAGATACATCTTATTTTTCTGACATGTGGCGGATGCCTAACCTTCATGGTAGAAGTATGAGGTAGGGTCGTATTGCGTGACGCCAGGACATACTGATACAAATTTTGGACGAAATTGTAACATTTGAGGGCAAGTATTGCCTCTCTCGTTCAAAAAAGTTATCATCACGCAAACAATAGATCAGTCATTGCTTTCAATCATCCTGAAAAGCAGTCGAATACTTATACGTATACGTATACGAGAATGGGTCATCCACATAATAGTATTGTGATTCGGTATGCTTGAAGCTTTTAAAGAAAATCTTAGAAAACTAGATCCTTACACCTTGTTATCTTTGCTTAACAACCAGATGCAATTGATCGAGTTGCCAAACAGTTATAGTTCTTTTCACGGCTTTTGGCGTTAATGACATCAAGACCATTCGAATTAAGTTAGCAAATCGACTTGCTGAACCGCTCCAGAGGAAAATTGCATACTCGGCAACCCGTACTACTCGTCGTTGCTTCTCAAGGCGGTCGAGGTCGTCGGCATAGAGGTAGACTTCACAGTCGCTGGGATGGGGGACGTCGTGAAGGAAAATCGAGTATAAGAGTGGTCCGACCCCTGCGGAACTCCGGCCCCAATGCGCCGTATTGCAGAAAATACACTGTTAATTTTGATTCTGAATTTCCTTCCATCTGGAAAGGATCTTAGTATTTTTAATAGCCAAAAAGGCAAACCGCTTTGAATACGTTTACAGAGGAGGCCTGCGTGCCACTCCTTGTCGAAGGCTTTCGCGACATCCAAAATAAGGATTTCCGTGCTCTTGTCGTAGGTGAATCCTCGGTTTACACGCTCCACTAGCCTGACTGCCTGTAGCTCCGTACTATGCTCGGACCGAAAACAGAATTGAACGTCAGGAATCACTTGGAGACCTGAAATTCTCAAGGTGACCATAAATCACCTTTTTGGCGAGCTTAGAAGGAGCGGGCAGAAGGTTAATGAGGCGATAATCCTGCGGAAGTATTGAACTTACCTTCTTTGGGATCATGATGACATCAGCGACCTTCCACGCATCTGGAAAGTATTGGAGCCTAAGCATTGCGTTGATTATTGTTACCAGGTATGTCACTGCCTTTGATGACAGCAGCTTAAGCGTCTTGTTGGTAATCTGATCCTCTCCAGGTGCCTTGGGCACCTTCAGATCATTTATATGACCTTGAAGCTCTGCTGGCGTGCAATACGGAATCACTGGTGATGACTCTGTCGGTGTGCTATGCAGAGCTTCTGTTGAAGAATTTTCTGAAGAGAAATCTTCCGAAGAGGATCCACCAGCTCTAGCAGTGCCGCCGCTGGCGTCATTAACAGCAAAATACGTCCTAATAGATGTTACAATGTCTCGTTCCTCGTCGAGATCGTTATCGAGATCATAATTTG